GATAAACTCTCAATCCTTATGAGAAGCAAAAAAAAAAAAAAAAAGTGCACTGCACTGTGAAACCACTTTGTGCAGTTTATCTCATGTAATCCTGTCAAATTCCCTGTGAAGTAGATAATATTATTATCCTCATTTTACAGATGAGGACACTAAGATTCCATTTAAACAACCAAGATATGGCAGAGTGGGGACTGGAATCCAAGTCTCTGTCTTCAGATGCCAAGTTCTTCTGGTTTTCTAAAGCTCATGGTGCCCTTCCAAATAGAAATTCAATAATTAGATTGAATGGGTTCATATCTGGCCTTACTGGTTATATCTATGGACCTCTGGATCTCTTGGGGAGATAGTATTTAATGACCCTCATACCAGGCCTCTGAGGCTTATGGAAGAAGCGCTCCAGGGGAACATTGAGCCAGAAGAATGAACTATCTATATATGATGTCTATCCACCTCAAGGTATTTTCTGCAGGTTTTTGGGGATGTACTGGGTGGTAACTCCTCTTAGGCAAAGGTTGGAGTTTTTTTGTTTGTTTTGGTACTGCTTATTGAATCCAGACCTGCTTTACCAATTAACTACACCTCCAGCCATTTTATTTATTTATTTTATCTTGAAACAGGGTCTTGCTAATTTGCCTAGGGCCTCACTAAGACTGAGGCTGGAATCAAATCTGTGGTCTTCCTGCCTTAGCCTCCTGAGTCACTGGGATTACAGATCTGAGCCACTGCTCCCAGCCAAAGGCTGGAATTCTCCCTATAAGCTGGAAGCATCTCCCAATAGTAGACTGTCAAGGCCAGGTCATACCCCACCTACCACTTGGTACTGTGACTTTTAGGTCAGAGAAGAGAGTATGCCTGGAGAAGCTCAAAGCTCCTCCATGCAGAAGGTTAGAAAAGCCAGTGAAACTAGGTGTGTTTGGCGGATGGCTGGGACACCATGACTCCTAGATTTCAAATCTTTGTAAATTGCTCATGAGCTTTCCCTGAGGGGGAGTGTCCTAGTTTATTCTTCTATATTCAGCCACCCAGAAGATTGACTTAAAATGCTTACAAAGAACAGGACAGTAAACTGACAGGAGTTACTAAACAGAATATGTAGATGCACATGCCTATATACACAGTCTGAATAACATTGACTCATCCAGCTTTCTAGTACTTGGTTATTCTGTATTCTACAATCCAATAATCACTGGTCATAATGATGACCTAGGGCCTTGCAAGAAACTCATGTTCTTTCTGAATCATCAAAAAAAAATTAAAAATCAAAAGGTCTATTTAGTGGCAGAGTACTTGCCTAGCATTGGTGAGGCCCTGGGTTCCATCTTCAGTACCACCAAAACAAATGTCTATTATATTCAGTCTAATTTTAATATTCCATGCATGTTGCTGGGTTTTACCTACATGAAAAGTGATAAGTCATGTGTAGAATATTCAGTAGCCATTAACTAGAATATTCAATTTACCACAATAAACTGTTTCTAGCCATGATAGAAAATGTAGAGTGAATTCCTCCAACTGAGGTTCTAACAGGGGTCCCCAAGGCTTTATTTTCTGGGATTCCCTCAGGATATAGGGAGCTCAGGGTTAGAGAGAGATGGCAGCTGCCTCTGGATTTTCTGACCCCTCAGACTAGATGGAGAATTGGCATTCATGTGAGCCATTCTCTAAGTTTACAGCCTTTCTGGGCCTTCAAACACAGGTGTTGTTTTGTTGTGACTATTGAATTTCCCCTCTATAAATATAAAGATACTAACTATATTAGCATTCTCCCCTTAATCATCTGTCTGTGTATATTTACCCCCACTGGACTCTAAGCTATGTAAAGTCAAGGATAATGTCTATTATTCCCAGCTGTGCCCCCCCCCCCAATGCCTGGTACAATGAATATTTGAGAAATGTGTGCATAATGAACAAGTAAAATACCAACTTTGGTGAAATTACTGAGAGGGAATTCCTTCCTTACAACATCCCATTCTCCTTTTTTCCTGGGTATGGGAGTGGTGATGGCTTCTCTTTCCCAGTTTTTGGTTTAAAGGTCAGGTAGGCTAAACACCATGTTAGACAAGCTGGCACCCAGAAACTCCTGTGGGATAAGAATACAGAGCTAGCCATACATCTTCCTCCTTTTGAGAGAGACAAGGTCCTGAGTAGGCTAAGGCTTTGGCTCCTCAGGAAAAGGCCCAGCTGAGGTTGGGTGGAGGCCTAAACCCTAAAGGCTTTTGCTAAAGAACAACAGTCAGCACTGGGGCATCTGTTCTGGAATGAATGTTGAGAGGAAATGGATCTGAGCTTTGGATCTTGGTCCTAGGATTCTACAAGAGCAGAATCTCTGCAATATAACCTGGGCTGAGGTCTCCTCAATAGCATCCTTTCTTTCCCTGGGACCATGAAGTAAGAAGTGCACCCCATCCCTCCTGCTTTGCTGGGATAGCCACAGTTCTGTGAACTCATGCAGAGACAGGAAGATCACCTCACAGCACCTAGTAGCAAGAGTTCTGGGTACCTGCTATCAACCCAGTATCTAACAGTTCAGAAGGATAAGAAACCAAGGCCCTGGTGAGGTGCTACCAAGCTCAAGTTGTGGCTCTTGTCTATTTAGCCAGAAGAGATGGGAAAGGAAGATCAGAAGCTATTTGCATCTGTCCCTGAGCTATTTTTACACTAAGAAGAAAAAGCCCTATAAACAACAGAGACACCACAGTGGTCTGTTTGGCTCCTGAGCCTCTGTCAGTTTGCAGATACAAGGGTTTATCAGGAATCAGGGAGGAGGGCTCTAAAGCTATGCCTAGCTGTAAGAGAATCCCATGAAGCAGATTTGCCTTTTGAAAAGTGACAGGGAAGCAACATGGGAGGTGTTTGCTCAGCAAGGCTGCAGGGATTTGTGATACCATGTCCTTCACTTGGTGCTACTATCCCAGAGCAAGGGGAACACTTGGATCCAGCATTGGTTAAGGTGTTGATGGGATGTCAAACTTTTTCTCAGACAGATTGGGACTACGAGCTATCACTAGCACCTGCTAAAAGTGGATCCCCCTGAAAAACTCTGTCACATCTGGTCCTTGGCTGGGTTCCAGGTTCTTTCTTCTGCCTTCCCATTTCCCTTTTTCTCTCTCCATCCTGCTCAGTAAGAGGTACAGTTTACTCGGATGTGATTAAACAGAAGAGGACCACAGGTGACACTGATAATGCTAATGCTGGCTTTTCTAATTTTTGGCCATCTGTAGGTTTGCAAGTATGCACCTGCCTCTTCAGAGCTATTCACCTGAAGATGTGTAGCACCACCCTCCTCTGGTTTCTTCATATTCCAACTCAGCTCTTTTGCATCTCTCTAATGAAGCCCCCTTCATGTGCTTTGGGGCCACCTATCATTTCCCAAATATGTTTAGCAGATTTTCTTTTAATTCTTATGGACAATATTTTGGGCTTGTCATGAGATTTGTGACAGACTTGTTTGTGATAAAGAGAGGGAAGAAGACATGTATGTAGGGAAATGACACACAGGCAGGACATCCATCAGGACTGTGTTTCTATTCTCAAAAACACCTCAGGGGGCTGGGGTTGTGGCTCAGTGGTAGAGTACTTGCCTAGCATGTATGAGGTACTGGGTTCAATCCTCAACACCACATAAAAATAAATAAAATATAGGTATTTTGTCCATCTACAACTAAGAATATATTTTTTAAAGAGAGAGAGAGAGGGAGATAAGAGAGAGAGATAATTTTTAAATATTTATTTTCAGTGGACACAACATCTTTATTTTATTTTTATGTGGTGGTGAAGATTGAACCCAGTGCCCCGCACCTGCCAGGTGAGCACATTACCGCTTGAGCAACATCCCCAGACCCAAGAATATATTTTTTTAAAAAACACCTCAGTCTAGATCAGAAGTGAAAAATTCTAAAAACCAAGAAAGTATTTTTTTAATTAGTTAATTATTTTTTTTTCAGTGCTACGGATTGAACCTGGTGCTTAGTGCATGCTACAGAAGTGCTCTATCACTGAGCCACATCCCCAGCCCACAAGAAAGTCATGAAGAGAGAAGAAATAGTCAACAGGCAAAGGCAAATGGATCAAAAGATTTAAGCATGTGGAAAGGGTGACTACTAGATGTTAAGTTTCAGCTTTGCCCATGATACTTGGGAGCTGGGGTGGGGGAGCACTTCCTGCATGTATATGAGCCTGAGGTCTAATATGTGGAATACCTGCTCTTAGGGTCACCTTTTTCTCTAGCTTCAGTTCTGGGCAGCAGTGTCTGGACTAGGCTAATTTTTCCCAAGGCCCCTGGAGAGCTTTGAGAAGTATCTACACTGAGTTGCCTAACTGGGACGTCTTCTGTCCAGAGGCTGCACTTGTTATTCATCATAATCCTTTCCTATCCCAAAACCTTCTTCTTGGCCTGCCCAGACTCCCTGCCACCTACCCCACCCCAGCCTTCAATGGCCTTGTATTTCAGACAAGTTTGTGAAGCCCCACTATGATTATCAAAAAAGGAAGTCTCTCCTCATTATCAATCCCACTTCAACTAAGCCAGAACATGCAGGAATCTCCCCCTGGCTTACTATACCTCTAAAGCTTTGTCTTAGATCCATTGCAACTGTTATTTTGAGACAGAATCTCACTGTGTTTTCCATTCTTGTCTTGAACTTGCAATCCTTCAACTTCAGTCTCAGGAGTAGCTGGGATTACAGGTGTGCACCACTATGCCTTGCCAAAGCAATTCTTTAATTGGCTCTCCTGTGTGTGTGCTATTTTTATCTTATTCACCAACTTAATCAGAATGTGTTGCCACAGGCATCCTTTGTAGAATAGGCACATGCTGTCTTTCCCATGGGGTCAGGGTGTGCCAGTTAAGATGCATGCTACAGTGCTCACTAGTGGGAAACCTGGTACTGTTTTTTTTTTTTTTTTGCAAGGAGTAAGTGCTATGGCAGCAGAGCTCCTCCCTCCATATCTCTAGGGTCCAAAGGGCCTCTGGCACATGGAAAACTGAGGCTGAGCCCTACCTGCCTTGATCATTGGAGGTGGAAGAGGCTGGCTGGCAGGCCTAGAGAAGACCATCTTCCTGGAATCCAGCAAGAGGCGGCAGTACCCCGCAATCAGGCAGGCAAAGTTGGTGGCTTCAGGCCACTCCATCAACAGCACCAGAGGCTGCAGAAAAGATGCAAAGAAACATAAAGTTGTGAGAAAGTGGAAGGCAAGTACATTTTCAGGAGGATTGTAACAACACCAACAAGAAAAAAGATGGCTTCTATTGTTATAAGAACCATGTTTTCTGAACCAAAAATTGAGGCAAATAACCTGACAAACAGTTTCTTCTGATTTGAGAATTTCTGTGTAGTATTTTCTTACCCACATATCAAAATTCAATCAACCTTTACTCACACATTTGATGAAGCACCTTTACTGAAAAAGACCAGAATTATATAACATCACATAACTATTGTGACTGGTTGTATTTGTGCTTTTCACAGCTCAGCAGATGTGCAGGCCAGTTGAGAGAGCTGGGGGTCTAGGCTAGGCTGAGGAATGACCTGGAACATCTTTATTTGTGTGTGTGTGTGTGTGGGGGTACTGGGAATCAAATCCAGGGCCTTGTGAATCCAAGGCAAATACTGTACCAACTGAGCTATATCCCCAGCCCAACTGGGACATCTTTAACTGTAAGCAATTTGTGTGCAAGAATCATCTCATACTCATCTACATAGGCCCCTACAATACCCAGAGCAGTCCTTGAACATAGGGGACACTCTATGGAATCAAGTCCTAACTGTCCTTTTAGGGCCAAATACTTTCTGGCCTGCAGTCCTGCTCAGATCTTCTTGAATGTCCTCTCTTTCCCAAAGTGGCCTTGAGATTTGCATTGGTGCTGCTTTTTATGTTGGTACTGGGGATTGAACCCAGGGCCTTGTACATGAGGGCCCTACCACTGAACTACATCCCCAACCCTTTTTATTTCATTTCCAGATAGGGTCTCAGTAGGTTGCTGAGGCTGGCCTCACACTTGTGATCCTCTTGCCTCAGACTTCCAAGTAGCTGGGGAAAAAAATACACACACACACACACACACACACACACACACACACACACACACACATGATTGAACCCAGGGGCACTTAACCACTGGACCATTGATCCCCAGCCCCTTTTTGTATTTTATTTAGAGACAGGGTCTTGCTGAGTTGCTAAGTGTCTCCCCAAATTGCTGAGGTGGGCTTTAAACTTGCAATCCTCTTGCCTCAGCCTCCGAAGCCACTGGGATTACAGGCGTGTGCCATGGTGCCTGGCTAGCTGAAATTATAGATGTGCACCACTATATGCAGCTATGGTTTGGATGAAAAATGATTGCCAAAGATGCAGGTGTTAAAGGCTTGGTCCTCAGTGCAGCAGTGTTCAGAGGCAGGGCCTTGGAGAGGTGATTGGATTATGAGGGCTCTGAATTCATCAGTGGATTAATTCATTTATGGATTCATAGCTTCAAGCATTTTGGAGGAGTGGCTTTGTTTTAAAAGTGAGCTCTCTCCTTGCTTCCTCGCTGTTGTGATGTGACAGCTTTTCTGTACATGTGCTCCCTGCCATGATGTTCTGCCTCGCCTAAGGCCTGGAAACCATGGACTTCTGAAATCATGAGCCAAAATAAATCTTTTAAATTGATTTTCTCAATAATTTTGTCACAGTGATGGTAAGCTGGCTAACATAGATATCTAGCAATTATATACAAAAAAACCAGTACCCTTTCAAGAAAACTTTCTAATATCTCTACTATAGTTTTAAAAGTATGACTTGATTACCTATGGATCACACTGAAGTCACTGAGGGTTCCAATCTCCCTGGTCTTCATATAATGACTACTGAAGACTGTCTAAAGAGGGATCCATGGGGATGTGGGTGGCCACAGCATTTTGGAATTCCCAGACCAGGCATTAACAGATAGAAGAAGTAGGCTGGGTGTCATGGTACACACCTATAATCCCAGTGACTCAGAAGGCTTGAGGCAGGAGGATCACAGGTTCAAAGCCAGCCTTAGCAATTTAATAAGGCCCTAAGCAACTTAGTGAGACCCTGTCTCTAAATAAAATATAAAAAGGGCTGGGGATGTGGCTCAGTGGTTAAGGGCCCCTGGGTTCAATCCCGAGTACCAAAAAGGGTGGGGGGCTCTTGGGGAGGTTTGTACCTTTAGTTAATGGATACGTTTCGGTCACAGCAGAATGGTCAATCTTACATATAAGGAAAAAGGTATTGGGTATGGAACTGGGCAGGGTGAGTTAGATATCCCTGTTTTACACCCTGTCACCAATAGCAGGACACACAGAGGTTTGGGTGTGGATGGCTGCTACTACCATTACTCTGAGGGACCAAGACTCACTAGCTCTGCCTCAGGAGCATTCATAAACACCATGGCCATCTCTGCTGTCACTACTTCATTTGAGGCTCTCATCATCATCCTCCCAGGCCCAAACTTCTCAAAGGATATGTAAATGGTTGACAAGTGTGCTGATACCAAGCCTCTCAGGCTATGGTGAAAAGCTGCCTCATCTGTGGATATGTATTGCTGTATAGATTGTGACATTTGCTCATGATAAGGAGAAGGTTAGGACACATAAACCTAGGGACCTCCTTCTAATAGCCTCCTGATTGGCCCTCTGCCTCCAGTCTCTTCCCACTTCCTTCCACTTCACCTTCATAATGCTGCCCAAGGGGTATTTCTAAAGTACAACTCTAATTGTCACTTAAAATCTTCCATAGTTCATCACCTACAGGGTAAAATCTGACTGCCTTACAATGACATACAAAGCCCTTTGGAACCTGGACCCAACCAATGTCATACACACACACATCTTCCTTACCTCTCTGTGTCTTTCTCATCCCATCGCTGTCCCTCACCCTATGCTCCAGCAATGACACATCATTTACAGTTCACCATGCTCTTTCACACCTCCAAACATTAACCTATGCTGTCCCTCTGGCTGAAATGCTCCTATGCTGTTTTGTCCACCTGGCCAGATGCTACAAATGGGCCAGTTTCCCCCTGGAGAACATGACCAATGGATGGCTACATCCATTCATTCCAGAACAGGCTGTCCCAGTCTCTATCACATGGACCTTATAATCTGGCAGGAAATAAGACAAATCAAATACTCACACAAATGAATATGACTGCAAGGTGTGATAAGCACTACGAAGGAAAAGTACAGAGAGCTATCAGTACATAGAATGTCCTAGAGCAGTGAGTGGGTGGGTGTGAAGATGTGTGTGTGTATGACATTTGATTTTGGAAGCTGGAGGAAGCTTCTTTGAGGAAATGGCACTAACAAATAGAATGAGGGAAACACTTGACCAGTGTACAGACTGAGTGGCTGGCTGACTGATGGACAGACAGGCTGACTGACTGCAGGGCAGTCTGACTCACTCTGGCATTGGCTGCCAAGATGGCTGCAGGAAGGCAGAATACTGAAAAGCCTCCCATTCTGCCTGCGTAGTTACCTGGCTGGCTGGTTGTTTGGCTAATGAACAGAATTACTGTCTGGAGGCTGGTGACTCACTGGTCAATTGACTTAACTGTCTGACTTTAATTTGTTTCCATTTACCCCCAATACAGCATGATGTCGGCACTATAACAGCATGAAGGTGAAATCCTGTGCACAGAGAAGGCCAAGCTCATCTCCAGCTGGCTCAGCACAGCACATCAGAAACCTCTCCTTGACATATCCCAGATGGCCAACTGGGCCCCAGCACACACCAATTGTGGCTTGTAAAAGAAACACAGATGTGCTTTTTTGCCAACAGGGGTAAAAATCAAAGCAAAGGCAGGCTAGCAAAAAGGTTGGGTAGGTTTCTTAGAAACCTTCAAAAACAACATTTTACTTTAAGTAAGATTTTAATGATCAGGACATCTAATGTAATGCTTGTCCCTACAGAAAGTACTAGCGCAATACAGTTCAAACATGACAATGGCAGACACACAGGGCCACAAGAGATCCCTTGGGACATTTGTTTGACAGTTTCTTTCTTCCCCTTATGTGCTTCTGTGGTAATAGGGTATGGTAATGGCCCAGTGGTGTGTCAGTCCCAGACTGCTATCTCTTAAAGAAAGATATCTGAACACTACCTCATGTTCACTCCACGACAAGCAAATCAGCTGAGTGAAAACTGTAACTAAATATGCTCAGGCCATCTTCAAGTGGAAAATAAGATAAGGAGAATGGAGTCTGAGGCATGAGTCAGCCAGGAAAAGGTACAGCAGGATTAATTTGACATGCTCCAGCCACATCTCCTTCCTGGGTGCCGTGGAGTAGCCTCAGTTCACACTAGCATCTCTGACAATAGAGAAAGGATGGAAATCCAGGGGTCTGGAGAGGCAAAAGCACAAGATGGAGGTCCTTGAGTCCCAGGGGATTAGTGTCTTTCAGTTCTTGCTTTCAGTTCCACAGTGCTGGGAAAGGCTAATTGGGTATAGTCAGCCAACTTGGGGATAAGGCAGAATATCACTTAAGGCAAGAGTTCTTGGGCCCAGTGTACATTAGAATCACCTGGGAAGCCACAAAAACCTATATATCCCTGTGTCCTACCCCCAGAAATTCTTATTTAAATGATCTGAGAGGAAGAGCTGGAACATCCAGTGTTTTTAAAAATCTTCATATATGATTCTTACGTGCAGTCAGGGCTGAGAATAATAATCTTTAAAAAAAATTTTGACCTGCCCAAATTGAACCAAGAAGATACAGAAAACTTAAGCAGACCAATATCAAGTAATGAAATTGAAACAGCAATCAGTGAATAATCTTAATTTCATCAGGCCCTTCCAGAATATTCCCAGACCAGAATGGCATATCTAGGGGGAAATGGGCCAAATTTGGTCTTTAACTTACATGCCTCTGTTAAGAAAATTTAGATCTCTGAAACAGAGTGTTCTCTACACAGTGGTGCACTGGCAAATGTTTTGTAATCAGTTCTTCCAAATCTTGATTTGTAGTATTTGCCATGTTCTCTGGTGTGCATATTCCCACTATGGCAGCTTTCAAGCTCACAATATGATGTCATCCATCCATTTTGCCTGTTGATTTATCTGAAAAAGGGTTAAAAAGTATCCTGCCCATCTCACAGAGCACAAATTTATAACCAGTGATGAATACAGAAGACATCTCTGATTA